AACCAGGGAAAGAGACCACAAAAAAAGAAAATTACAGACCAATATCCCTCATGAACATTGACGCAAAAATCTTCAACAAAATTCTAGCCAACAGAATTCAGCAAAATATCAAAAAAATAATTCACCGTGATCAAGTGGGATTTATACCAGGTATGCAAGGATGGTTCAAATTAGAAAAACAATCAATGTAATCCATCTCATAAATAAGAGACAAGAACCACATGATCTTATCAATCGATGCAGAAAAGGCATTTGACAAATCCAACACCCATTCATGATAAAAACTCTCAACAAAACAGGAATAGCAGGGAAATTCCTCAGTATAATTAAGGGCATTTATACAAAGCCAACAGCCAACATCATCCCAAATGGAGAGACTTTGAAAGCATTCCCCTTGAGAATGGGAACCAGACAAGGATGCACTTTATCACCACTCTTATTCAGCATTGTGCTGGAGGTCCTAGCCAGAGCAATTAGGCTAGAGAAAGGGCATCCAGATTGGTAGGGAAGAAGTCAAAGTATCTCTATTTGCAGATGGTATGATCTTATACACAGAAAACCCCAAAGAATCCACAAGAAAACTACTGGAACTAACAGAAGATTTCGGCAAAGTTTCAGGATACAAGACAATCGTACAAAAATCAGTTGGACTCCTTTATATCAACAAAGAGAACTTCAAAAAGGAAATCACCAAATCAATACTATTTACTATAGCCCCCCAAATATAATACTTAGGAATAAATCTAACCAGAGACGTAAAAGACCCATACAATGAAAACTACAAGACACTACTGCAAGAAACCAAAAGACACCTGCGTAAGTGGAAAAACATACCTTGCTCATGAATAGGAAGACTCAACATTGTGAAAATGTCAATTCTACCCAAAGCGATCTACAGACACAATGCAATCCCGATCCAAATTCCACTGGCATTTTTTAATGAGATGGAGAAACAAATCACCAACTTCATATAGGAAGGGAACAGGCCCCAAATAAGTAAAGCATTACTCAAGAAGAAGAACAAAGTGGGAGGCCTCACATTACCTGATTTTAGAATCTATTATACCACCACCACAGTCAAAACAGCCTGGTACTGGTACAACAACAAATACACAGATCAATGGAACAGAATTGAGAATCCAGACATAAATTCATCCACCTATGAGCAGCTGATATTTGACAAATGCCCAAAGTCTGTTAATTGGGGAAAAGATACTCTCTTTAACAAGTGGTGCTGGCATATCTGGATATCCATCTGCAAAAAACTGAAACAAGACCCATCCCTCACACCATGCACAAAAACTAACCCAAAATGGATCAAAGACTTAAATATGAAATTGAAAATGAAAAACATCATGTAAGAAAAAATAGAGACAATGCTAGGTGCCCTAATACATGGCATAAACACAATACGAACCATAAGTAACAAGGCACAAGCACCAGAAGAGAGACTAGATAAATGGGAGCTCCTAAAAATTAAACACTTATGCTCATCAAAAGACTTCACCAAAAGAGTAAAAGACAACCTACAGACTGAGAAAAATTTTTTGGCTACGACAAATCCAATCAGCGTCTAATCTCTAAAATCTACAAGATACTGAAAAACCTGAACAACAAAAAGACAAATAACACCATTAAAAAATGAGCAAAGGATATGAACAGGCACTTTGCCAAAGAAGATATTCGGGCAGCTTAGAGATACATGAAGAAATGCTCACAATCATTAGCCATTAGAGAAATGCAGATCAAAACTACACTGAAATATCATCTCATTCCAACAAGGCTAGCATTAATCCAAAAAACACAAAATAATAAATACTGGAGAGGTTGTGGAGAGACTGGAACACTTATACACTGTTGGTGGGAATATAAAATGGTACAACCACTTTGGAAATCAATCTGACGCTTCCTTAAAAAGCTAGAAAAAGAAGTACCATACAATCCAGGTATCCCTCTGCTTGGGATATATCCTAGACAAATAAGAGCCGTCACATGAATAGATATACGCACAATCATGTTCAGTGCAGAGCTGTTCCCAACAGCAAAAAGATGGAAACAACCTAGGTACCCATCAACAGACGAATGGATAAACAAATCATGGTATATCCACACAATGGAATACTATGCAACGATAAAGAACAATGATGACGCCGTGAAACATCTTATAACACGGAGGAATCTGGAGGGCATTATGCTGAGTGAATTTAGTCAGTCACAGAAGGACTAATATTGTATAAGACCACTATTATAAGAACTCAAGAAAAGGTTTAAACACAGAAGACAACATTCTTTGATGGTTACGAGGGTGGGGAGTGAGGGTCAGGGTTATTTACTAACTAGATAGTAGACAAGAATTACCTTAGGTGAAGGGAAGGACAGCACACACTACAGGGGAAGTCAGCACAACTGGACTAAACCAAAGCTAAGAAGTTTCCTGAATACAATCAAACACTTTGAGGGACAGAGTAGCAGGGGTAGGGATCTGGGGACCATGATTTCAGGGGACACCTAGGTCAACTGGCATAACAAAGCTTATTAAGAAAATGTTCTGCATCCTACTTTGGTGAGTGGCGTCTGGGGTCTTAAAAGCTTACAAGCGGCCATCTAAGATGCATCAATCGGTCCCAACCACCTGAAGTAAAAAATGAAGAACACCAAAGACAGAAAGAAAGTAATAGCCCAAGAGACAGAAAGGGCCACATAAACCAGAGACTTCATCAGCCTGAGACCAGAAGAACTAGATGGTGCCCAGCTACCACCAATGACCGCCCTGACAGGGAACACAACAGAGAGCCCCTGATGGAGCAGGAGAAAGGTGGAGTGCAGAACTCAAATTCTAATAAGAAGACCAGACTTAATGGTCTGACTGAGACTGGAGGAACCACGGAAAGCATGGCCCCTGCATTCTCTATCAGCCCAGAACTAAAACAATTTCCAAGGCCAACTCTTCAGACAGGGATTGGACTGGACTGTGGGACATAAAGGGATACTCGTGAGGAGCGTGCCTCTTCGCTCAAGTAGATACAAGAGACTAAATGGGTAGCTTCTGTCTGGAGGTGAGATGGGAAGGCAGAGAGGGTTAGGAGCTGGTTAAATGGACATGGGTATCAGGGGTGGAAAGGAGGAGTGTGCTGTCACAGCATGGGGAGAGCAATTAGGGTCACATAACAATGCATGTATAAATTTTTGTATGGGAGACTAACTTGAAACGTAAACTTCATTTAAACTGCAATAAAAAGCAAAAAAAAAAGCAGTAGAAGCAAAATCAAGAGGCAAAGGACAAACTTGGGGAGATTATTTACAATAGATTTAACCAATAATTTATATTGTAAAGATATAAATAATTCTTACATATTAATAATAAAATATTAATCCCCCATGGAAAAATACACAAAGGTCACGATTAAGCAGTTCCCAGAAGAAAGAATACAAATAGCTGACAGATGTATGAAAAAATGTTCAAATAGGGTTTACACTCAGAGCTATACCTGCAACTGAGGGGGCCCTCCTGGGGAGATAGCAGCTTGTCAGCATGGCTCAGGAGTTTGTGAACAGCAGAATCCACCCTGGGAAGGTGGTTGTGTTCATCAAGCCCACCTGCCCCCACTGCAGAAAGACCGATGAGATCCTTTCCCAATTGCCTTTCAAACAAGGGCTCTTGGAATCTGTTGATATCACAGCCACCAACAACGTAAGTGCAATTCAGGATTATCTCCAACAGCTCACAGGAGCAAGAACAGTACCTCGGGTTTTTCTAGGTAAAGATTGTTATCGGTGGATGTTCTGATCTAATAGCTTTGCAACAGAGTGGAGAGTTGTTGAAGAGGCTAGAGGATATGGGGGTTCTAAAATAATTACAGAGCCCCCTGGCTGATGTCCCCTTGGGAGCTGGATGGCATCACAAAGGATGACAGATTTCCTGGTGGATGGATCTGGGACTATTCCTTCCCAGCTACAGCAACTGTTTACTTAAAATTCTGGAATATTTTAACCAAAAAAAAAGGGGGGGGATATTTGGCAAAAATGGCTTTTTTCTTTTGGATCATTATTAAAAAGTAGACCAGCTTGCCCCAAAAAACAGGGCCAAGAAGGTTAATGTATCATACACTCTTGAGTTTCCTCTGGGTTGGCCTTTTGGGTTCCAAAAGACCAGACTGAGTCCTGGCTTAGGATTCACTCACTGACCAAAAGGTGTTCTTCCTTTTTGGCATGTTTCTCCTACAAAGTGCTCTCTATGTGCCAGCACTCCTCTACCTCTAAAACCAGTGTTTCTAACCATGTTTATCTCTGACCCCCCAGGATGAGTCTGTACTTGGTCTTCTGTGACTGCCCAGCAGCTGAAATTATTTCTCTGATCTGGACCTTATGGAGTTTGTACTATGAAATCAAAAGGCGTTTTGAATGTGCTCTTTCAAACTATGTGCATCCCCCCCTTGCCATCCCCACCACACCCCACCTTGAGAATCATGCTCTGAACCAGTGTTCTCAACACTGACAACTCACAGATCTCATTGGAAGTGTTCAATAATTCTGTTCAGGGTCTGAGGACCCAATGTGGGACACTCGGCCTGAAAAGTTAAGCACTGCTGGTCTTCACTTGGTACCACAGGGGTCAGAGGCACAGAAGCAGGTGCTGCGATCATGTGGCAATACTCTTACATAAGATGGTTGTCTAGATAATCCTGAATAAATGTGTATTAATTTGATTTAGGTTATCAGCAAAATTATAGAAGACTTGCAGCTCCCTCCCCTAAAAAAAAAAATCTGTGAAGAAGCCAAGGAGCCAAATTTGAGAAACACTGTCTTGAATGATTCTGTCTTTCTCTCTTGCTCTTTTTTTTTTTTTTTTGACACTTAATTCCTTACTGTGAAGTTTAATTTTTCTATTCTAGAATTACAAGGTTAACTTAATTTTCTTCTGTGGTCTCTGGTACAAATAGTCGATTTCTAATAAAGAAGTATGCATAAATGATGAAAAAAAGTTCAAATAAATGTATACTTTTCAAAGCAAGATGCTATTTTTTTATCACTTAAACTGGCAATTTTTTAAAAATGATAACACACAGAATTAGTGTGGGTACAGGAAAGTCACTATGCTTCAGCGCTGCTGATGAAAACACACAAATAAGTAAAACTTATCTGACAAGCATTTTGCCAGTACGTATAAAAGACGCAGTGACTGTGGTGGTTCAGTGACAGAACTCTCACCTTCCACACGGGAGACCCAGGTTCAAGTCTCAGCCAATGTACCTCATACACAACCATCACCTGTCTATCATTGGAGGCTTTCATGTTACTATGATGCTGAACAGGATGAGGAAGAAAGGCCTGGTGATCTCCTTATAAAAATCAGCCAATGAAAACCCTATGGATCACAATGGTCTGATCTGTAGTCGATCATGGGGATGGTAAAGGACCAGGCAGCCTTTCATTCCATTGGCATGGGGTTGCCATGAGTCAGAGTCTGACTTGATGGCAGCTAACGACAATAACAAATATATGTAGCACAAAATTTGCCATTTTAACCACTTCGAAGAACAATTCAGTGGCATTAATTATATTCACCACGTTGCACAACCATCACCTCTGTCCATTTCTAAAACTTTTCTGTTGTGCCTGGGGTCGCCATGAGTCGGGGGTCCTACTCAAAGGCAGCTAACAGAATAAAAGTCTCAGAAGACTTTAAAATGTACATACCCTCTGTCATGGATTGAATTATGACCCCAAAAATGTGTGTATCAATTTGGCTGGGCCATGATTCCCCGTATTGTGGGGTTGTCCTCCATTTTGTGATTGTGATTTTATGTTAAAGAGGATTAGGGTGGGATTGTAATACCTTTACTAAGGTCACATCCCTGATCCAATGTAAAGAGAGTTTCCCTAGGGTGCAGTCTGCACCACCTTGTATCTTACAAGAGATAAAAAGAAAGGGAAGCAAGCAGAGAGTTGGGAAACTCATACCACAAAGAAAGCAGTGCCAGGACCAGAGCGCGTCCTTGGGACCTGAGGTTCCTGCCCTGAGATGCTCCCAGACCAAGGGAAGACTGATGCATCACAAGGACCTTCCTCCAGAGCTGACAGAGAAAGTCTTCCCCTGGAGCTGACACCCTGAATTTGGACTTTTAGCCTACTGGACTGTGAGAGAATAAATTTCTCTTTGTTAAAGCCACCCACTTGCGGTATTTCTGTTACAGCAGCACTAGATGACTAAGATACCCTCTGACCTACCAAGTGTGGTTCTAAGAATCTATCCCAAAAAAAGAATTAAATAATGAGTGCAGAGGTTTAGTTTCAAGGATGTGCTTCACGGTGCTATTGGTAATAGGAAAAACTTGAAATAAAAACCTTAAGTGAAAAACTGGTTAGAATTCATGCTAAGCAATCATTAAAATTATGGTTCAGTAGGATAGGCAGATTTCAGTAAGTTTAAAACAGCAGGTTACAAAATAGTCTTTGTTTGAACATAAAATCCTGTTTTTAAAAACTGGACATATCTATGCATTAAAAGGTAAAAGAGAAGTGTATATACCAAAATATAAACTGTATATACACCAGAAATTTCCCTGAATAACAGGATTGCAGGTTATTTTCTTCTTTTAGCTTATCTACATTTTCTAAATGTTCTAAAATGAATGTACTTCTGAAACAAGAAAAACATTTTTAAAATTATTGGTACCATGAGGTTCTTTGAGCTTCTTGGATTTGGTTTTGGTTTGCAGGATTAAGGTCATGGTTTCATAGGACATCCTAATTAACTGGTCTAACAACATGTTTAGTGCTTCTGTTCTACCTCCTAGTTCATTGTGTAGTATCTGGGATCTTAAAAGCTTGCAAGCAGCCATCCAGGGCACAACAATTGGTTCTGTTCGCCTGAAGCAACAGAGGAAGAAGGAGAGTCAGGAAGAGAAACAGGATATGGAATGTGTGGCTAACTGCCCCCATGAACAACTGCCTCCTTTGCCATGAGACCAGAAGAACTGGATGGTGCCCGGCTATCTTTACTGAACATTTTGATCAAAAATTCCATAGATGAATCCTGATCAAAAGGGGGAAAATGCAGAACAGAATTTCAAATTATCATGGACTCCAGATTTTATGGAACCGTGGAGGTTGGATGAATCCCTGAAACTACTGCCCTGAGATAATCTTTAAACCTTAAACCAAAAATATTCCCTGAAGTCTTCTTGAAACAAAATAATAGTTTAGCCTAACCAGTGAAAAATGACTGCCTTGAGCATCATGCTCTTCTAAGAACTATCTGTCTGCGATCAAACTGACAACAGCAACTCAAAAGATTAAACAGGAACCTTAGGGGGCAATGGATTTATGTTAAAGGGGGAGGAACAACTCAGAAAAAGAGGGTGAGAATGGTTGCACAACTAGAACAATGAAACCAATGTCACTGAATTGTACGCGTAGAAACTATTGAATTGGTGTATGTTTTGCTGTGCATATTCAAAACAACAAAAAATTCACACTAAAAAAAAGTTATTTGTCAATGAAAGATTAACACATAAAACAGTTCCCTTCTGAAAGCTTGGGAGAGGAGCTCGGGGTCTTTGGAAAAGTCACTTAGGGACAACAGCTGGCTCGCTGATGATGCCAAAGAAACGAGGTTATTGTAGAAAGTGAGACATAACCCACACTTCCAGAGACCTTTCATTTGGCACTGCCAACTCTGTAGCCTGGCATCCAGACCTTTCTCCAGCTAGCTCTTCTTCAGCCCATCTCCTTTGGTCGGCTTCACCCATGGCTGCCCCGCCGGGCTCCTGGGCTGCACGGTTCCTTGGGAGGATGTGGAGGCAGCGGCAAGGTGGCCCGGCTCCTGCCAGCCCTGCTCCCGCCAGCCCTGCTCTGCCTGCACCACCTCAGGCTCCGCAAACACCCCAAGAGCGGCTGAGCCTCCTCACCACCTGCCTACCTCCCTGCCCCCTTCTCTTGGCGCCCAGTCTGCAGAAGCATTTGACTTTCTAATTCTCCCTTCTTTACAACAAAAAGCTAAATGTTCCCCAGGCACTTGGCCTGGTTTCTGTCCCGGAGGCGAGAGATGGCCAGGGAAGGAAGGCAGCAAGAAGCCAGTCCCAGAACAGTCTCCAGAGCAGCGGACTCGCACCCATCAGGCTTCATAAACCAGCATCAACATCCCCATCTCTCTGCTCATAAATGGCCCCAGACATTAAATGACTTCCTTGCTCGATGCCCCAGAGTGAGTCCTTAACTGTCTTGGAAAGTGACAGAAATTACCACTCCACCGCAGGATGCCCACACCGTCCCCGGTTCCCACCAAAAGAAGCAGCAACGCCTGAAGCTGAGGAGGCAGGTGTGAACACCATGCCCCGTCCACCTACCCATGGACTGTCCTCAAATGCTCATCTCCCCACTCGCTTTCAACCCCGCAGGGCAGACAAAACATATGGGTGGACGCGTGGGCCTTGGATTTGTCAGGGATGGAAGAGAGCAGTGTTAAGTTTGCTTAGTAACCACGCTGCTGTGTTACAGCTTTGTTAGTGTACCAAAAAAAAGTCTATTTGGCGACTCTAACAAGTCCTCGCCAGAAACTGCAGGAGGCCGGTGGAGGGAGCCAGGCTGTAAAAAGGAAGATGAAATCCGACTGGAAAAAGACTATCACAGGCAAGTGACCGCAGCTGAGAACACAAAGCTGCGTCTCCAGGTCTGCGGTGTTCAGGGTGAGCCGGAGGAGGATGGTCCCGGAGTGGCTGAGCCACTGACACTCAGGGTGGCCTTAGCGGGAACGGGAGGCGTGAGAGCAGGGGTCCTCGGAAGGGGCAATTAACACATTCCAACCAAAAGTGAGGAACCCCCTGGGGACTGGGAACAGGGAGCATCTGAGAAAACTTTAGGAAAGACTTCCGTTACCTTTGGGGTAAAGAAAAAGTTTTAGAAATGGACAGGGGTGATAGCTTACAACATGGTGAATGTAATGCCACTGAGCTGAACACTTCAAAATGGTTAAAGTGGCAAATTTTATGTTATACATAT